CGTGTCCCGGGGACTCGGGAAGCGGTTGATGTGGATATCTGCCCGCCCCTGCGGGCGGGTCGATACCCATGTCCACCATTCGTCGAGATCCCCAGGCACAGCTCCGCCGAAGCGGTGGATGTGGACATATTCGTAGAGGAAGAAAAGACAGCGTAAGCATAAGCTTTCGGAGCTCCGCACAAGTTTATCGGGTCGGCGCTGAAGCCCTCCGGCGGCGCCTCCAGCAGCGCCCCTGGCGGGCTCCGTGCGCCAGGGAGGGGGTTCCAGCGCCGATAGAAGAAATCAGCGCGGAACCCCGGAAATTTATGTTTACGACGTGTCTTGTTCCTCCAAGAGTATGTCCACTTCCACCGCTTCGGCGGAGTCGTGCCTGGGGATCTCGACGAGTGGCCAGTATGGATATCTACCCGCCCGTTTGGCGGGCAGATATCCACATCAACCGCTTCCCGAGACCCTGGGCCACGACCCCGCGGCAGTGGGTGTGGACACACTCTGGCAGCGCAGAGGAGGCGCGGCCGAGCAAGAAGTCGAAGGCCAGGTTCTCCGCGTTCGTGGAGGTGTCCGACGGGCGGCGCGGCTCGTCGGGCTCGAGCTCGGGCTCCTCGGAGACCTTTGACGGCGGCAACTCGCAGAACGAGGACGACATCGAGTTCGTCAAGGAGATGAGGGGCAACGTCAGGGGGGGCAGGCTCCGGGGGGGAGGACGCATCGATCCCCAATCGCCCATCGATCGCCGATACGGGGCCCGACAGCCCATCCCGCCCAGGACCGTGCGGCTTCGCTATCCAGGGCCCATCGCCGATCTCTCGGCGATGCATCGCCGATTCCCGGGCGACGTTCCCCTTCCCCCCCCCCCCCCGGAGCCGGTTCCCCCCGGACCTTCCCCTCCAGGAGGCCTTCAAAGACTCTGGGGGCCCCAGGAAGAGCCTGGCGGCGTGCAAGGGCACGGTCACCGCCAGCCTGGAACACTTCTTTATGCCTATGACTGGCATTGCCCGGTCTCGATGCCCATCTTAAGGACGCCCTCAGGTTCTGAGGGCGCATCCCTAAGACTGTCATCGCCTCTGGGCTTGTCAGTCTTAGGGGTAGGGCTGAGATCGAGGCTGGTCAGGTCACGACGGACCAGAAGCGGCGGACCATGGCGTTCGTGGCGCGCCGCCAGGCGCAGGTCACCAGGTTCTCGAAGGATGCCGCGGACGCCAGGCCCAAGGAGCGTGCCTTCTGACATTCCCGCAAGAATCCATGGGGAAACAATCGGCGACCTCCTCCGCCTTTACTTCGAAGAAGGAGGACGAAGAGGAGGAGAACGACGAGGAGGAGGAGGAGGAAGAGGAGGAGGAGGAGGAGGCGGAGGAGGAGAAGGACGAGGACGAGGCCGAGGAGGAGGAGGAGGAGGAGGCGGAGGAGGAGGAGGAGGAGGAGGAGGAGGAGGAGGAGGAGTGCATTCTTGCCCACGGGGGCGCTCTCTGCGACCTCCTCCTCCGCCTTTCGAGAAACAAGAGACGGCACGAAGAGAAACTTTCTGAGCGCCGCGCGCCAGGGAGGTTTGGGAACAACGAAATCACAGAGCTGGAAATCTTCTCCCCGCTCATGTCAGCCTTTCCTGGCTCGCTCCTCCGATTTCCCAGTCTGCCTTCCTTGTCTAGAGGCACAAGAAGCGCCCAGAGGCACAAGAAGTAACATAAGCAGCACAAACTGTTGGAGCTCCGCGCGGGCTTCTTGGCTCGACGCTGGAACCCCTTCCCCGGCGCGCGGAGCGCGCCAGCGGCGGCGCCGGAGGCGCCACCAGGGGGCGTCCAGCGCCGATCGAAGAAATCCAGGCGCACCTCCGCAAGCACATGCTCATGCCGCCTAGTTTCTTTCGGACGATGAAGCACAGTTTCGGAAGGGAGGCTGGCCGAGAACTTGAGCTCCTGGGGCTGCGACTCTTCCTGCCGGAACCCACAAGAGATGCAAGAGGTGCTGAGAGATGGCGGCGGAGGCATCGGCAGACACAGGGATGGAGACGGAGAAAGGGATCCACCGCCAGGATGCGGACATACTCTGGCGGTGCATGGGAGACAGAGACAGGGCCAGGGACAGAGTGAGCATTATCGCGCTCACGAGTAATTGCCCCAGCCACGCCCCAGAGCAGCCTGTATTTGGCTTTCAGGGGAGGGGCATGCGAGAGGCACTCGAGGAGGGAGGGAGGGAGAAGGGGAAGTCGGGTGGGCCCAGGACCGGGATGAGACGTTCCAGAGCGTTCTGGAACGCTGTCAAAGCGTTCCAGAGCGCTGGAACGGCCTCGGCGCCCGATACGTCCTCCAGATCCGGCGGATCTCCAAGGTTCCCGATTTGTCCCGGTCCGATTTTGTCCGGGTTCTGTCTTCGTCTTCGAGCGAGCGCGAGGGAGCTCACGGCACCAGACCTGACGACGCGGGCAACGGAGCCCCCAGGGAGCGGTTCCGTGGGGACCTCATCTGGCTTCTGAAAACATGGGAGGGTGATAGAACCCCCACATTGCCAAGTCGATTTGTTTGCGAATTGCCCTTTTTCGATTCTCGAGAGGGTCTTGCGGCCGCAATTTTCGCGGGCTTGCGCCAGTCAGACATGTTCCGAGGTCGTTTTCACTACAGGGATTTGTCGTGGAAGGGGTTCTGTCCACGCCCGAAAACGACCCTGTGGCGAGACGCTGCTCTGTAGGTTGCGCAGTGCTTGTAGACACAGGAGGAGGAGGAGGAGGAGGAGGAGGAGGAGGAGGAGGAGGAGGAGGAGGAGATGGAGATGGAGATGGAGGAGGAGGAGGAGGAGATTGAGGAGGAGGAGGAGGAGGAGGAGGAGGAGGAGGAGGGAGGAGGGAGAGAAGGAGGAGGAGAGGAGGAGAGGAGGAGGAGGGGGGGAGGAGAAGGAGGCGTAATTACAGCTTACCTCACCAGGCGGTGACTCCAGGGGCGACCGCCCCCACCTGGCTCACTAGTTTCATCCACCCCCCCAAGGGACCACCAGCCCTGGAGGGGGGGGGGGGATGGCTGCGCCTGGAGACCTTGTCATCAGTGCCTCAGTGCCCCAAGAGGAGGAGGAGAAGGAGGAGGAGGAGGAGGAGGAGGAGGATTCGCAGGAGCAGGAGGAGGAGCAGGAGGAGGAGGAGCAGGAGCAGGAGCAGGAGGAGGAGGAGACGGATGCTTGGTCGGACTGCGCCCCTCATGCTCGTGGGCGGCTTGGTGTTTCTGTGCGTGCCGGCCTGCCGGCCGCCTTCCAGACCCGTGCGGCCAGAGGTTTTGGGCCATCGGGGGGTGCGGGGCGGGGATGGGCACAATCAGCCCGCACACTCAGGATGAGCAACTTTCCAAGGTTACGGTAGGGGCGTTCGTTTAGGAATGTGCCCAGGAGGCTTTCGACCCTGGAGGGTTCCTGATCTGATGAGGGCGGCGATGATATCCATGGCCGATCCGCGAGTTCCGCCAGCTTCCAGACTGATTCCTTATCTAAGGTTTCCTTATCCACTGCCCCCACCATACCCTTGAATTCTTTCTCATCGGCCATGCTTGGCAACTTTCGCTGGTCAGCCCCACTCGAAAAACGTCAGCATGGTTTTCCAAGGCCGTGCACCCTTACCGCGCATCGTTACTATACGGGTTGACTGCATTCTAGGGGCTGGAATCGGCTGGAAGGCAAAAAAAAGGGAGACCTAACATCGGGAGACCCAAAAGCTGTGTGTTGCGTCCTCGGGAGAACTGGGCCAGTGGTCATGATAAAGAAAGTGCCAAGTTTTCGAAGGTTCCCAGGATTTCCCAGATTTGCCAATGTTCCACAAATGCTGCCCAAGCGAGGGCCGCTAGATACTCTGGAAATCCTGGAACGCATCCTGAGCCAATCTTACTAAGACATCATTATCGCGCCAAATATCGAAGAACACGAGAGCTGCAGAAACCTCTTGCAGCACCTCTTGCAGATCGAGAATATATCTCAGCACCTCCCTGCGGCAATTACTTGTGAGCGCGATAGTGGTCACTCTGTCCCTGGCCCTGTCTCCGTCTCCCTTGCACCGCCAGAGTATGTCCGCATCCTGGCAGTGGATCCCTTTCTCCGTCTCCATCCCTGTGTCTGCCGATGCCTCCACCGCCATCTCTCAGCACCTCTTGCATCTCTCATGGGTTCCGGGAGGAAGAGGCGCAGCCCGAGGAGCTCAAGTTCTCGGCCAGCCTCCCTTCCGAAACTGTGCTTCTGCAGACAGAGTCTAGGCATAAGCATACGCTTGCGGAGGTGCGCCTGAATGTCTTCGATCGGCGCTGGACGCCCCCTGGCAGACTGTAATATTGAAGGGGCGGGCCAGGAAGTGCTGACACGAGCGGGGAGAGGAGTTCCAGCTTAAGTGATGCCGTGATGTTATTGCTCCCAACCCTCCTGCGTTGGGGTTCACGTTTTGAGCATAATACTGCGGTCGCACCTTCCCGCTCCTCTGCCTCCTGCCTGCCTTCTGTCCTGCCTCCTGCTTGCCTGCTGCCCTGCCCCCTCGCCGTCGCCGGGGGGCTGCGGCCTGCGACACTGCCGCCACGTTCGAGGACCGCTGGGGGGTCCAGCGGAGTGACGTCTTTCGCAGATCAGGGCGGGACCTCGCCACCGTCGGGCGGCTGCGATCTGCGAGGGTGTCGCCATTTTCGAGGGCTGCTGGGGGGTCAAAAGGAGGGACGCCTTACGCAGATCTGAGCGGGACCTCGCCGTCGCTGGGGGGCTGCGAACTGCGAAGGTGTCGCGACGTTCGAGCGTTGTTGGGGGTTCAGAACAGTGACGTCTTTCGCAGATCAGAGCGGGACCTCGCCGTTGCTGGGGCTCTTCGAACTACGAGAGTGTCGCCACGTTCGAGCGTTGCTAAGGGGGTACAGCTGGGGAGGGAGGGGGGGGCGAACTAAGAACGTGCCGCCACTTTCGACGGATGCTTGGGGGTCCATCGGAGTGGCGCCTTGAGCAAGTCAGAGCGGGACCTCGCTGTCGCTGGGGGTCTCAGCACTGCGAAAATGTCGCCACTTTCGAGGGCTCACGGGGGTCAAAAGGAGGGACGTCTTCGGCAGATCAGAGCGGGACCTCGCCGTCGCTTGGGGGGCTGCGAACTGCGAATCTGGTGTTCCCGCCTCCGTTCTTCGAGCCTGGGTCATCAGTCCTTGTCCTTCTGTCGTTGTCCTGTGAGTCGTGATACGTGCGCGTACCCCATGTAGTTTGCACCACATATGACGACGCCTGCACTGTCGTTGTCCGTGAATGTTCGGACCATCTCACCTTGTCACTTGATGCTGATGTGTTGGGCACCTCGCAGGGTAGTTTTCCCCCATATCTGTCTGATTATCCCGCTTCGTTTTGGGAGTTATCTTGATTCGACTCCCACTTCTTGTCCTGTGGCCGATACACGATAACCTGGGATATCGCCAGGGCGTTAGATGATAAGGTCGAAAAAAAGAGTGCGGCAGCCCAAAACAATGCACGAAGGAAGGAGGCAGCGAGGCAGACGGGAAGGAGTAGGGGACTCGGGCTCGAGAAGGGACAAATTTGGGCGGGCGCGCCGCTTTCGAACACGAGGATCTGGACCTCCGCAAGCGGAGCACGGTCCACAACATCCCCATTGAAGAGTTGGCGGATGACATCGTCAACAGCTCGGGCGTGGTGGTCGAGTACATACTGCGCTGGCGGGCCAGGCTGGCGAATCAGGCGAACGCTGCAAAGAAAAGTGGCAAGAAACACAAGGATCACGAGTCGGAGGCGCTCTCAAAGTTCCTCAGCGCGATGTCGTCGAACGACTTCCAGGGTTATGAGTATGCTGGCGCTCGAAGAGAAACATCATAAGCGTAAACGTTCCGAGCTCCGCGCGGATTTCTTGGGTCGGCGCTGAGCACCCCCTGGCTTGGCGGGGCGGAGCGCGGCAATCTAGGTCCAGTTCCGGCCCGGGAACTCTGCGCGAAGCGCAGGAAGTTTATGACTGTGCCGCTTGGCTGGAGGAAGCCAAGAGGTACCGATACCGCCACTCCCCAGACCCCTCTCAGGGCGCGTCCTGACCAGGATTTCGCAGCGAATCCAGCCGCGGCGACGACGGCCGTCCCAGAGGCCCTCGTCGCCCCAAGCGGAACGACATTATTATGTTTGCGCAGGTTTTTTCTCCTTGCAGGCACGCACATTATGATCGAGAAGCTGACGTGCGACCTGATGACCGCCGTGACGAACGACGCCAAGCGCTCGGGGATCTGGAAAGCCACGCGGGGGCACGACGCCCCGCTCGCCGTGATGCGCAGCAGGGCCCTCCAGATCCGCGCGTGGAAGAAGGAGCCCAACGTCGGTCACTCTGAAGTGAGCTGGGGCACATAGGGAGCGGAAGCGAACGTGTGCCCGCAGCCGCGTGGCTCAAGCGGCTGGCCGCCCAGATCTGATTACACCTCAGAGCGATGTGTATTATTTGCCATCGGTACCAAAATACTGTTTGAGATGGTTTCCCCCCTAATATTGGACTATCGCTACTACGGTACAACAGAGCGAGAGCTGGGCTTCGCCTAAAGCGAAGCTGTTGGTCGGGCCTTCCAACCCCATTCAAACTTCGTAGCGGAGCTGATCTATGGTGGCCAGCTCTTGCTCTATTCCTCACCATCCACGGTACTACCTGGTGGACTACAGACATGGTGGAACATCAGGGTGTCATGGGCTTGCGCGGAGGAGTGTCTAGAATTACGCTGTATAGCAAGGACACTTGCAGTGACACCTCTGCTTACGCGGAGGCCTCTTCTTTTCGTCCTACATCCCTGCTACTACACTCCTGAAGTCCACCCACCTACTCCATTTTGAAGCTTCTTCGAAGATGCAATGCATGGAAACATGCGATATGATACGGTGCTGCCTCCACCCCCACGCAGACCTACGACCACACATCAGAAACCCCAACCGACTACATCCGACTACGACCTACAAGGCCATCGGATTGGTGTTACTATATTAGGGCTCGCATGGGTCGCTATCGGGTGTGCGGTAGGACATATGCGTGGCGGAGACGACACAAAAACGACCGGACCTCAGTGGGACCCAGCCGGTCAGGTACCTTTTCGCGAATTTGTCCGCGAGGTGCATGCCTGGATCAACGTGACCACAGGCAACATGACGCCCTCCCAGCAACCTGCAGCCCTGCAGCGAGGTTTGGAAGGTCTCGCACGGACCATGCCATAAGAGTCCCCCCAGCAGCTGTCAATTTTGGCGTTCACACTGGTGGTCGCCATACCAACGGCGTCACCTACATCATGTTCGTCTTAAGCACGAAGTTCGGGAATTTAGAAGAGGAGCGCCAGTCCAACTCTGGTACAGCTCTCATTGACTTCCGAGTCCATGCGGGAGAACGAGTCGACCAGACGTTAGCACGCTTCGATATAGCCAGTTATGAAACTGAAACGGCAGGCTTGAACATCCCCAGCGTCCAAATCTTAACAGTTATTTTATTCAGAGCTCTCGGTGTGGGGACATCGCGTGCACAGCAACTCCTGCAGCCGCTGCCCCACCACGTGCCGAGAGACCAGCAACAGTTTGACGCCCTACTTGAACGCATGAGGTCATATGCACACATTGCCGAGATAACCCCTGGCAGTATTGGTGGTATTTTCAGTCACGGTCATCGAACCGAGACCTTCCGCGCTGAGGCAAACGCAGGGCAACCTGCAATTAACGTCTGGAATGACGATCCACAACCAACTGAGACCACTACACTACTGGCTCATAACGGTGGATCGGCCTCGGGGTCGCAAGACTCCTGGGCCGGGTTTCGGGGGCCGCCCGATGCGGCATCCCCCGCGCAGGCTACAACCCTAATGGGCTCAGCGGGACAACCTGCCGAGTCTGACTTCGACTCCGGTACTGACGCCGATGCGTCTTCGGACGACGAGGTCACGGCGGACTACTCCGACATGCCTACACACCTCACGGAAGAGCAACGGGCGCAATGGTTATTCTTAGGATACCAGAAACATAAGCGCAGATGGATGCGATTCATGAAGAAGCCAGTCCGTAAGGCACGGCGTATCTTACAACGAGCACTCAAGGGAAAGTGCAAGGGCCGAGGTAAGGGCAAAGGTAAGCGTCGGCGATTGCATGGCAGAGGCATACTAGCATTCCTAGCATCCCTTACCGGGCCACAATATGAAGATATATTTTCGGTGCAGGCAGGAGTCGCAGGCATACATCAGGAAAAGGTAAGGGACGTCGGGGGGGACCGAAGGATGCCAACGGCAAAACTATGGAGTGTGACATATTCCATAGCACGCAGCACTTTCACCGCGAATGCCCTCAGGGCGATTTGAGAGGCAGAGGTCCGTCGATACATGTGGCTCAAGCTGATTCAGACATATAGTACGTTGACTGGGAGTCACTTTTAGCCGACCCTGCCGCTAGCTCAGTTGCAGTTGTCAACTTCATGGTTGCCAGATATTTGAATGCCAGTATATCCCTCGAGAATTGCGCCGACGAGCTGTTCGAGGAGGTATTCGCCGGCAACAATGGCATTGATCTGGCAGACTGGCTGGGCGCGCCCATCGCGGGGCAACCTGCAGATTTTGAAATTGCCGAGAACTTCCATATGCCCGCCGAAGGAGATGCCGAAATGGCGGGGGCACCCGCGGAATCCGAGGTCATCATTCCTGCGTCAGAAGAGGAAATACAGTTGATGCTTTATCCTCGGGCCATTGGAATTCCGACAAACATGGAATTGGGTGGCGATGACCCTTTGCGGGGAAACCCGCGAGACGTTAGTGACCTGTCTGAGCGCATTCAATATGAACTTGGCCATAATGGAGACATGCACTGCGCATTTGTAGCTCCGGACCGCCCAATGAGCCGCCAGCAGCGATCGACGAGCCGCCAGGTCTGGGGAAAAAAAAGGTAGCGCGCCGACGACGAGGACGAAGAATGGGAAGAGAACGATCGTCTGGTACGTCGCGGTCGGATCCCCAGTCGCTCACCCGACCGCGCCCGCGCGCGCTCCAGCGGCGCTCGCTCTAGCGGCCCTCAGCGCCCTCATCTTCCTGATGCGGGAACGGGAACTCCAAAGGCCCCTCCATGGCGGACCAGTAGACCGGGCAGTCCCCCGAGGAGGGGGCGTCTGCGGGGGCATCCGCCTCAGTGAGATCAACCGCGAGAAGAACATCCAGAGGGTGGAATACAGCGCCTTGTTGACTACGCGGAAGCTGGATTGGCTCGCTAGTACATACTTCCAGATACGATGCGATATTGGTTGAACAAGGGTTGGACTGAGCACCGCATTCGTCGCTGGCATTCTCTTCGTAATATTAAACGACATGAAGATGGCGAGATAATTCGCCCAACAAGGACAGGACCTGTCAAAACACAAGAAAAGATTGTCAAGCGCGACCTCGGGAGAGCTATCGTCGAGGAACGGAAGCTCTACAGAGGCGCCCGTTGCTCATGCCCCGAATATGCCGCCCACAGGCTGGCTGCCCCATGAGACGCACATCAAGAAGCCCGAACTTTAAAAGGACACTGTGGGTTTGGTCTCATGGTGATGGTCGGGGCTACTGCACCGATCCCCACTCAACGCCATATGAGGAGCAGCTGACGGAAAACGACTACGAGCAAGCAGCAGCCGAGGAAATACCCAGGTCTATCAGGATATGGAAAGATCTTTCACCTCTTCATTATTTGAAGCAGTTTACTCGCGATTGGCACGCGGGGGAACCTGCTTCACCCAAATCAGAAGAAGACAAGCAACAAGTAGCTGATGAAGAAGAAGGCGATGCGATGGCCGAAGTAGATCCCGCGGAAGCGGCTCCTGCAGGGTACGCCTCGGAGTACTCCGACGCACTATCCCTTGCCGCTGACGTCGCGTGCGATGCGGGCATCCCTATGAATCCTGAGTGCGCCGTCACACCAGGAAGAAGGGTCGCTTGCCGCGCTGGATCTGGGGGATGAGCAAGGGCTACTGTTAACCAAAGGCTTAGTGCTACTACGTGCAACCTGTGCATCAGGGGAAAGGCCGCCATAGGGAATATGGCATTCAAAATCCTGACGGTATAGACCTGGACCCCGGCAGGGAACCCGTGCGACATGGGCCATGGGCACGGGCAGGGGGAACGGCTAAGGCAGCTCCCAAGCCGAAGCCAGATCCGCCCATTGATATTTCTCCGCCTTCGGATTCGTCGAGTCCGTCTGAGTCGCTCGGACCTGATCAGCTCCGGCCACCGCCCAAACAGAAGAAGAGGAAGAGCCCAGATGATCCTACCCCTGGAGACAGCAAGCAACAGCGACCTGCGGAGCAACCTGCTGATCGACGTCGATCCAGTGGACCAGCAATGGCCGCCGCAGCAGCTGCACGTCAAGGCTCCAGCACTCCTGCTGCGAAGGACCCTGTACCAGGTCGCGGCCCTGCGCCTGGCCAGACACAGGACTGGCTGGACGCCGACATTGGAGGGGGCATCGAGGGGCGCCTCTTCGACGCGGCGTGGCATCGATAAGAAGCGATTGAAAACTATATCCAAGGCGTCGGGGGCAGCTCCCAAAGGTAAGACAGCCGAGTACTACAACGTCAAGGAGAAGAAACGCCGGGACTGTGACATCAGCACCCCCCAGGGACTCCTCGGACGCCTATGGGAACAGCAGGCGCTGCCTTATCATTGGCAGGCGCTCGCGCACCCGCAGCATCGGCGACAGCTCAGAGGTCTGCGAGGCAGCCTGCTCAGAGCACTGCAGGGCAACCTGCTCTTACTTTGGAAGTGCCCGTTGAATGCCGACAGTGCTGGGGCCGTTTGCGCACCAACCGTGCGAAGATCAATCCAGCATGCCACCCCAACTATGATGACGGGTCAGATCGATACATTGCGGCGTGCTGCGACATAGAGGACGCCGCCGCCCTTGCCGACAGGGGCGCTCATGCGCGCCAAATGGTACGTAATATTTTGCGCAAACGCCCAGCGCACGCGTGCGATTCGGAGAAGGACGACTTGATTGGCATCCTTAACGCAGAGAATATTCAAGGCTCAAGGTTGAGCCATGAGGAGCAGCGCCACTGCTCAGAGTGGCCCACGGCTGCTCTTCGCCACAAACCATTTCATAACAACCATATTTCTGATGGGTTTCTGCGAGCAGTGCCGTCTTTCGATTAATTCGATGGATGGGTTGAGCTTTCAGAGCTGCGCAACCATTGGCCACCTGAAGGATATGATCGCCATCATCACAAACAACTGGAGACTGTGCGCCCGCGTCTCAGGAACCGTCACTGGGCATGCCAAGCATTAATTGTGCTGGACTTGATTGGCATGGTCGACAACATTTGGGATGCA